TGTGGAGCTATCTGCAAGAGATGGGATAACGATTGGATTAAGTCTTGCGTTTTCAGAGGCTTGCGGTGCTGCCTCGGAATCGACACTTTTGGGTTTATTGAACCCGTACTGGTCTCTCATACTTCATCTGAAGGAAGCGATAAAAGCTGTTTTAAATTGCTATGTGATTTGAGGGTAGGAAAGACCAAAGGTTTTAGAACAGCTATTTAAAAATTAGAGGCTTACAGCCACTACTTCCACATTGTCTTCTTTTCCTTAAATAAACAACGAATGGTGTTTGGTGTTTAGTGAAAGGTGATATAGTGTAACGGAAAAGCCATGGCATGTCACTGATAGCTGTTCGACATTGGGCAAGTTATTTAACTTCTCTGATCACCAGTTACCTCACACAAAATACAGCCATAATGATGCTGTGTTGTGCTGAGAATACTGCTGTGTTGAAAATAATGTATGAAAAAGTCTCTAGCATGGTGCCCAGTACACTGAGAAAAAAATACCAGTTTCTCATCTTTCTTTACCTATGTCACCAGCTTATCTTAAATTCTGTTTAACTCTCTTTTTTTTTTCCTCTTTATTTCAGGAAGAATGGCTACTAGGTGCTTTCAGAGAAGGAAGAGTGAGGAGGTGGGCAGTGCTGGTTTTATTTTAGCATAATTTATAATCCCCTCACCCATCTGTGAAAGTCTCAATCACTCTCTTTAAAGGAATGATAAGTACATACAAGACTGAAAAAGCTCTCAACAGATTTTCTGAAGCAAAAGGAAGTCAGTCATGATGCATGAACGCATGGTAAATAGAGATATCAGCTGCTATTTGCCAGGGGAGTTTATGAAACGAACCTTATTGGTTTTGAAGGCACCTAATCAACTAGGCTAAATCTTTGTCTTCTGGGCTCACGATTACACATAGATGGACCTGTTAGTTTATTTTGTCAAACCAGAGAAAGATAAAGAATCATGGTGGTGATGGGGGTACTCTCAACAGTGACAAATTCTTTCCCGGTGATTTTTTTTTTTTTTTACAATGACAGCCCTTTTTACCCTACACAAAAGGGTAAAAGTTAAGTAAATCTGACAATTCCACATAACAGAAATCCTTACTTAGAATTTGGAAGTCTTTTTTTTTTTTTAACTTAATTTCACCTTTGTAAAGCTGGGTTGAAAAACTATGTCTTTAATAACAGTACAATGTATCTATGCTTTTAAAAAGAAAAATAATCTTAGCAGCAGTAAGGGGATTCAGACCCAGGTGACTGAGCTGTTGTCTCTGGGAAGCGTGAATCCTGGGCTGAGAGGTGGAGAATTGCATCTCTAAGAATGGTGACAAGTACCACTTCACTCTGTTACTGTGGGGAAATGGGAGATTTGCGCAGATTCTAAGTGTAGTAAGAGACTTAACGTTTCTAAACAACAGGAAGGGACTAGCTTTCAAACCTTTAACTTGGAGGGGGTGGGGTTAGGTACGAAGAACCAGGAGAGATGAATTCTCTTAATATGCTAATAGTCAAACTGACTGGCACTATCCTTCCTGCAGACCACAGACCAAATGGGCCTGTATGTACCTGAGTGAAAAAAAAAAACTTTGAAAGCAGAGTGTACTCTAAAAGCTAAATAAAAAAATCAAAAAGAACTACTTTAACTGGGACAAAAAATTCAACACAGCATCTGTTAAAAAGGTTTTCTTTTCTCTTTCTTTTAACTTAAGGCTACAGAATGCTCTTGCTCTGTATCAAAAATAACAGGCAGCTTTTTTCTTTTGTATTTTTACAAATATTTCCATCTTTAAGACTAGAGCTTTCTGACTTTTACTAACAACATGTCCAGATCTAAAGGCATTACAGAAAGAATGTCAGTTTGCTCTAGAAGCAATTATACATACAGCAGAGGAAAAGGCCAATTTTACTGTGCAAGGACCACACATACTGCATGTTTGTTATATTACTTGATATCAAAGCAGAAACATCAAATTCTTCCTAAAACACACATGAAATGAAGAGCCTGGCTAAGGAACTCCCACATCCAATTCAGAGATATCTGTTACAGTTTATAGAACTTGGCAACACTGACACTATTGTTTTACTGGGAAGAGACACTTATTATTGACTATATAATACACCATGATTTCTTTAAATTTATATACATGTATTGGGTAAAATAAACTTGATCCCAATCCATAAATGCAGGTATGTTATCAATGTATGACATTTAGGTATCATATACCAGAGGATCAGCAAGAATTTGCTGATTCTATGTCACTAGGTGACCTTAATATTTAATCAGGCTTCAGGATCGGTATCATAACTTCAGAGGCAGCAGCTGATAGCAAGAATTAACTTTTTTTTCATTTTGCATCATCATGATGTTGCTGTGATGACTTTCATTCATTTGTTCAGCTTGCATTTACTGAGTATCTCCACCCAGTGCCAAACACGGACATAGGGAATACAGAGGTAAATGAGACGTGGCCCTTAGGGAAATACATTCTCAAGGGAGGAGAGGGAAGACAGACAGAAAACAAGTTCAATAAATTAGGGTGGCATGCTATATTTTATATAGCATGTGTATATAAAGAAAGAAAGACTGGTAAAGAAAATATGTGATAGAGATAAGATGGTGAGGGAGGGTGAAACTTTAGGGTGCCCTTGAATGAGAAAGAGTTTCTGTGTGGACTAGGGAGCTGGTCCTCCAAAAATAGGGACTAGGATGCAGATCTATGAGAGTGTGGGAGACTAGGGGACAGCAAATCATTTGCTATTCCTAGAACAGATCTGTGCATGGGGAATGAGCCTGGAGAAGAAGGGAGGGCCATCCTAGGAAGGGTTCCATACACCTGACAAGGAGTTTAGACTTTCTACTACAGGCCATAGTTTTACATATTCCCCAAATACTCTAAAGACAAAGTAATGAAAACACTATGATACTGGTATAGAGGAACACAAATTAATGGAACAGAATAAGAAATGGAGAAACAGAATAGAATATTTAGTTGATATATATATATATATAAAATATATAAATTTAATATACAAAAAAGCTGGTATTTCCAATTAGTGAGTAAGGAATGGATTTTCAACCAGTGGTGTTTGAACAATTTGAATATAAAATTTAATTCCTATATGCCACACTGCACATTAAAAAAAATTCTCAAAAAATGGATTAAAGATTCAAATGTAAAAGTTTATATTCTTGGGGTTAGAGGATGTCATTTGTTTTGTTTTGTTTAAAAATTTTTTTCATATGGGAGGTAATTAGGTTTATTTGTTTATTTACTGTTATTATTTATTTAATGGAGGTACTGGGGATTAAACCTAGGACCTCATGCATACTGAGCATGAGCTCTACCACTGAGCTACACCCTCCCCACTTGTCCTTCTTTTTTAATATGCTATCAAGGTCAGATATCACAGAGGAAAAGATAGACATAATCACAAAATCACAATCTGCAAAAATCACAAACTTCTGAAAGGTATAAGACACTATAGTTATAAGACAAGTGACAAGTTGGGAAAATTGTTTGTAACTGATGTAATAGTTACAGTATTAGTACCTGTGATATATACAGAGCTCCTACAAAGTAATAAATATTCTAACTTAAGAGAAATGGGCAAATGACACAAATTATATCCAATGATATAAAAGTATGCTCAATGCCAGTTACAATCAAAGGAATATTATTAAGACAGCTTTATTTTTTATCTACTAGATTATGAATAGGAGATGCATGTGAGTGAGATATATCAAATGACTGATCATGTCCAGTGTTTGAGGTGTGGAGAAGTGAGACCTCTCAAATACTAACGGTATAAAATTGATACATACTTTTTGGAAGATAATTTGGCAACATCTATGATACAAAATGTATATATCATTTGATCCTGTATGTCTATAGCTAGCAACTTTTTAAAATAGAAAATATATATATATATACACATATATAAATGTGCAAAAATAGTATGAGAATATATATTACACTGTTGTTTATAATAGAGAAAATTTGGGAACAACCTAATGGTCCATCAGAGGGACTAATTTAATGCATTGCAGCATGTAGATAAATAAATTAGATAACAAATGCTGTTGTTAAAAAGAATATACTGACATGGAAAGAAGGACATCAATGACATACATTTATCTGAAATAAATAATTAGCAAAATAGTATCCCCAGTAATCTGTCAAGAGAGATAGTGAACTACAGAGATTAGGAGCATGGGCTTCGGGGTCAAGTCAACCTGGATTTGAGTTCCAGCTTCATGATCTCCCAGATATGTGAAAAATTACTAACTTCTCTGACTTGGTTTCTTCACTTGCCCAACTGGAATGGATCCTAACAGAATCTACCTCAAAGAGTTATATGGAGAATTCCTAGCACATGGTAGAGGTTAAATATATACTAGTTATTATTATTTCTGTTGTCATTTTGGTATAATTATTATTTTCAACCAACTCTCTTATGAAAGCAACTTCAAAAAGCAAATCGAGTTGCCTTTGTAAAATTATGCTGAAGAGTCTTTAACTGAATCTATACATCACAGACAATTTTAGCTTATGTAACAAAAATATTCTATTTATCTAATCACTGGGATAACGAACATGACACATCAATTTCTGATGAAGATAGGTTTTGAATGAATATTCATCAACTACAATGCATACAGGGAACACATCTGAGCATTATATCTAAGGATCAAAATAAAGGACTAGTACGTTTAGATATCCCCAGTTATGAGAACTTTAAAAAGCCTTAATATCACATTAAAAATTGTCCTCTGGTCTGGATATTATTAATATCCTTTTTGTGGTAGTTTCTATTGTATACATATTTAATTTTCAACTGTATTGTCAGGAAAACACACATACAAAAATAGGAAAGCACCCTTTTAAATACTTTCCCCTATTAAGACTAGAAAAATAAATCATTCAGAATGAGAAAATGTGTTATGGAGGAATATATTAAAATGCCCTCATCGACATAGAGACTATATACAAAGAACCATACATACCCTTCGGTGCGGAAAATCATTCGAAAGCTGTCTCCTAAGCTTTTGTAACTATTTGGATCAGTTGCACATCTCTGAATCTGGAACCTAGAAACAAAATCAAACAAACAAAAAATCCAAGTTAAGTATTTTGCCAAATGGCTTTTCTCCTTTTTGAAAGTATTAGGGAACTCAGCCTTTTCAGATTAATCTAAAGTATTCTGGTTTTGCCATAGATTTTACTGATTTTTTTGCCTTATATAATCTTTGCCTTATTTGTGAAGCTTTTAAAACTATGATATTTCTCTGTACTTCAATAGAAACTGCAGAAAGAATTTTTTTCATCTGTTTCCTAGCCAGGCGGATGCACCCTGAGGCATTTATGCTTTTTTCTTTTGTGAAAAGCATACACAGATGTCATAGATTGTTTTAATGTATAATTCAGAAATCTGAAGATGCATATGAAACAAATAAGTAGCTCTATTTCTTATCTTAATTAATGCTCCTTGATGGTAATTTAACACAAAGGTTAAAAATACAGAGCAGCTAATATGGCCTAACTTTGATCCTGATTATGAATTTGGAATTCATTCTGGAAGATAGGAGCCTGTGTTTAGAGCAACAGCTAGGGCTATACTGTGATACAGTTTACTATCACTACTTCACAATGGAGCAGAGTTGGTCGTGAAGGGTAATTCAGGCTACCTGGACCTTCACAGAAGCAAAGTGCTTTGCATATAGTTTGTATGCCATAAAAATGCATCCAATTTTAGAAAGCTAAATTACTTTTTCTCCTTCTTTCTGGGTTTGATCATGCACCTCAGAACTCTAAACTTCAAAATGTGGAGGTTTCCAGTATGAGGGTCTTAACTTACGTATTTTATACCTTCCCCTGGGCTTTGTTTCTGATGGGATTTATGACAAGTACTCTCATTTCCCTACACTCCAGTCCTCCATTTTTGGTTTTCTTTAGTCTGCCTACTACTTGTGTTTAGCTTCCTTGTCCAAGTTCTAAGTTAAGGCCCTTCTCCCTTCTGTACTTCCCTCCACAGTTTTACCAACCATTTTTTAAAAGAAATTCTCAAAAACACCCCTGATATTGTCTACTTTAAGATGCTTTCCTCAGGTTGCTGGAGTTATGATATGAACATAACTTCTACCTCAAAGAAGGATTTATTTTATAGTTCTAGGTCCTAGAGAATTACACTGAAAAGTGACACATGTATCATAGAAAAGAGTGAATATGTTTCTTTGATTGAAGCAGTCAAGCATATGAACAGAACAATTATATGATGAGACTGGAAAGTGAGGCTAGGTTACATTTGACTTTGTAACGTGGAGAGTTGCTGAATGTGATTGTACAGGAGAGTAGATGTCCTGAGATGAGTAATCTGAGTCTTCTAGTAGAGGATCTGGCATTAAAAAATTCTTAAAAAAATTTTATTGCCTGATTAGGTGGATTAGAATGGGAGTAAAGAGGGCAGAACAATCACGAAGGCAATTATGATAGCCTGGGTGAAGATAATGATGCCAGAATATGAATGGATGCAACAGAAATGCAATAAAAGGGGTGAGTTTGTTGGGTGACCCTTTTTCTCTTTAAATAAATAAATGATTTTTTAAATGGTGCATTCAACATGGTCCCCTCTTGATCCTCTTCAACTCACCAAATAATATTCCACAGCCCCAGATCTACTCTTGCCAGTTTAAAATGTCATAAATATTCAACTTCATAATGTTTTTGCTTGTCAAACTTACACCTCTATTGGCCTGATCATTTTCAGAAGGTGTCTAGAAGAACTATATCTCTAAAATTTAAGTTGCATGGAGCTTATCAGAAGATCAAGGACCAGTACAGCTAGCTCATTGAAACTATTCTTTATCCAGAGGTCTGTTCACTGTGTGCATAACCACTGGCCTAGAAGACTCAGTAAACACTTTGGTCTAGAATCAAAAAGGTGATTTGACGGTCAGGTAGATGGACCATGTTTGGTATTTCCTCACTACTGCATGTAAATAAGTTAATAATGAGATGGGACTTGGGATACAAATGAATTAACTAATGCTAAACACAAAAGAGTACAATGGGAGAACCGTATGTAGGTTTACACAACAAATAATTTTGGAACATAGAGAGCAATTTCCAAAATATGACTTTCATTCTAATTCAAAAAAGAATCTCTATCTCTGTATTTGAATATGTGTAACCTATATTCACTGCTGAGTATGAAAAGTTTCTTATGTCTAGTTGGGAAGTCCAAGATTCTTCTCTAACGTTCTTTTAAGAAAATTACTTAAAATAGTTTAATATATTATAAAAGCATTACATGTGCATAGATTTTTCTCATAATCTCTGTAATAATTTTCATTAAGTTCATTTACCTCTGTTAAATTCCTTTCTAGATGCTTTTCTCCCAAATTACCAAGTACTTAAGAAAAATCTGTCACATGAAATAAGACACTACAGGTTTTACAAAAACCCAGGGCATTAGCTCCACTCTCAAAAGCACAATAAATACATGAGAAAAAAATGACAATATAAGGGAAAATATCCAAAACATCAAGTAGTATCAGCACAAGTCACCCAGGTGTTCATCAGAGGGAGCAATTACTGCTTTCTGCAGAGCGTCAGGAAGGATCTCAGGAAGAAGGGATTTGAGCTGTTCCTGCAGGATTCAGAGAAGCAAACAGAGGAAGACAGGAGGAAGCATTCAGGTAGGGAAATAAGAGGGAAAGATGTCCTTTCAAGAGAAGTGAAGGAAAAGATCTACCCACTACAGCAACCTCCTGTTTCCTTCAGGATGGACATTATAGCCTCCTGCTGGTGGCATTTAGTTGCTCAGATGGGTGGAGACCTGAGCGGGCAAGAACGCATTTAGGGGATAAAGTCAACAACCAGTATACAGCATTTGACCTTTTCCTGCTCTTCAGCTGATTCTACTTCTAACTCTATGGCTGTCTCACAGTCACGTGACCTTGTCCTACAAGGAACTGTGAAATAGTCAGCAGAGGGACCGAGTCAAGTGCATCCCAATGGCAAGACAATCAACCTTAGCTCCTCTTTCACTGCTGGGGTTAGAGACATCAGCTTTGTCTCTGAGGTCTGCATGCTTAAGTAATACCAAGGTAGGTCTTTGGTCAGCTTATGCAAAAATGAATGCAGAGTACAATTATTTCATAAATAACTAGTTATTTAACTTGCTATTGGAAGTCTAGGCATGACACTCATTAGTTGTAATTTGTTTCTTTTTTCCAGAATCCAACAGATAATATTTCCAATCCACTATACTCAGTTCATGAGTTCCTGAATACTTACTGTGTATTAAGTATCCACTGTTTGGGGCATTACAAAGAAATAGACATAATCCTGCCCTTTAGAAGCTTATAGTTAGGTGAAGGATATGTTCAAGTAGATGATTACCATATGCAAGAAATAATGTTTAGGAATAGTATTTCAGAGTACCACACGTCAACCAATGAGTTTTACTGGGACTGAATAAACACTTTTATTACTTTTACTACAATAAAAGTAATAAAATCTTCTTATATGGGTGGACTATGGCTGACAGAAAACAGTACTATGTAGACACATTAGAGAGAAGAGGGAAAATGGGAAGGATATCTTTGGGCTAAATATCTGTGATGAAACTTTACACTCCCATTTTAGAACAGGCAACAAAGACAGTCAGTGGAATCTCTGAGGAGTGTTCCATTTAGAAACTGTATGCTGAGTGATGCTGTGTTAATTACAAACAGGAGCGGCAACATCAAAACAGCATTACATGAGGAGAGTCCATAAGCTGTGTCGTAGAGCAATGCAAGAGGATGGACAGGCATGGTAAATATTAATTCCTCTGTAAAGCCTCCCACCATTCCTTACTATCCTAAAGCAGCTGGAGGTCCCATTAAAGAGGCTAAGGCAAGTACAGCTGTCTCTTCGATTGCACATCTCATATAGGGAGTGTCTACACTCTGCAGAGAAAGTATATGCTGTATTTAGTTCCACTACACATGACTTATTCTGATCACAGAGTTATCAGTTCTTCTAAGGAATCTGTTTCAAGTTGATATAATTATAGTGCATTTTGGTCAATCATGTAAAACAGCAATTTCCTTCTTCCTTTCCATTACATTTCAGTAACTTAAAAGGTTTCTTTCTTGGATTGAGGATTTACATCAGCATTTTCCAAGTTGCATTCTGTGCTAACAAATTCTCTCTATACTCGGGGAGACAATTTTCCAGTTACGTAATACAACTCTTTATAAAATTGCAAAGGCAAAGCCGCACTACTCTTGATTGTATTTAGAAGAAAAGGTTGGACTTTCCCATTGTCCTAATAAAAGTAGCTTAGGCACATCTGGAATCTCCATCTGAGGAACTTCTTTTATTAGAATGAAAAGTCGCTGCCAAACTGGCAAATTGGACAATGGAGCAATACTTAAGAAATATTCAGTGCCTAATAGCAGGTCAGAATGAAACACAAGGCAAAGGAGTGTGGCTCAAACCCTACGCTCGCTCCACTGCCCAGGAGCCAGCAATCCCAGCTGCCGCGGGCCAGGGAGCCCAGTACCACACACTCCCACAACTGGAAGGGAACAGCCCTACCATCCGCCACACCATAAATACGAAGTGAGTTACTGCGATTCCTACCAGCGTAAGGAAGAGCTGCTCAACATTCAAAAGCAAGTGTACAAGCATATTTTTTAAAAGTCAAAGAATGTTCTCAGTCACTAAAATATTTTTCCTTAAACTGGTCAAGAACCATTACGGCAGCATTTTCCACTGACTTAATTCTGTGCTTAGTCAGTGATGTCAAAGTCTGTTGTTGACTCTTAGCACAGTTAGAAATGCCACTTTCGGCATTCAGCTTGTCTGAGCACTTTCTAAGATGCCACAAGAAAGATATGTCTTAAGAAACACAATGACTTGGTTGCCTTAAAAGCTGTAGAATGAGGTTGTTTGAAAATTCCTAAATCTCAAATTTATGCAATGCATTTATTTCCAAAGTAATTTTACATCTATCATCTTCTTTAAATGTACCATTGGCTAATGAAATCTATACTGGAAAGTGGAAGCTTCAGGACACACCCAAGTATACATGTATATG